GTGACAGAGTGAGACTCCGTCTCAAAAAAATAAAAATCTAATTAAAATTAGAGATGACAATATAATAACTGCCTGTCATTTTACTGGGCTGATAATGGTGCTGTATTTGCAATTTTATTTAAGTGGTGGTTAAAATTCAGTGTATTTGCTAGGAAACCAACTTGTTAATGCAGAGGAAAACATAATTTTAGGAGCAAACTGTACATAAAGGCTCTCAGCTGCTAGATAGATGAGGTTTTTATGATAGTAAATATTTCATTAGTTGGATATGCTGTTTATTTTTCTTCCCTTTTTTTAATGTCACATACATCATCACACCTCAAATGTTTTGTGATTACAGATTTTAGCTAGAGCATAATATCAATGGCCCACCCACTTCCCTCCTATTTCAGTTTTCCAGTGGAAAAACAATTGTGTAAGGAAGTATTACCATATAGTTGAGTTGACCTCGGCAGGCAGTGGAGGTGAGACTGTAGGTATTTTCCCAGTGCATACATTTTATCAAGTTCAATTATTGAAAAATCAAAGGCTCAGACTTACTCTTTACCTACCAAACACAAGTGCCTATATGCCAGGCATTTTTCTAGGCTCTGGGGATACAACATTGAACAAAAGACAAATTCCTTGCCTGGTGGAGCTTCCATTCTGCTGACACAAATAACAAGTTTTGTATACTATAGAATTAACCTAAAAACTGCATTGATAGGCCAGGCATGGTGGCTTGCGCCTGTAATCCCAGCACTTTGGGAGGCTAAGGCAGGCAGATCATGAGGTCAAGAGATCGAGATCATCCTGGCCAACACGGTGAAACTCCTCTCTAAAATTAATTAATTAATTAAATTAAATTAAAGTAAATTAAAGCCTACATTGATGATAATGATAGCAAACTAATAATAATTATTGGCTACTTTCTATATACCAAGCACAAAAGGTAGAGATGAATAAGGACTTGAGGAACTCACATTTCGTTCTGAGAAGAGACTGTAAACAAATAAGCTCATTTCAGACAGCATGGTACCAAAAAGCAAACAAAAACAGGGTAGAAGAGACTGGGGTCAGGGGGCAATCAGATAGGGTGGTTAGGGAAGACTTTGGGAAGCAGAAGCGGTAGCCATATGTGGATGAGATTGAAGAGTATTCGGACAGAGAGGAGTGAACGCAGACACCTTGAGCCGGCACTGGCTGGGCACATCCAAGGGACTGGAAAGGGGCCAGGTGGCCCAGGACAGTGAGTAAAATGATGGCAGCAGACAGGCTGGGTGGGTCTGCAGGGCCAGACCCCCACGCCTCAGAGTACTTGAGACGTTTGACAGTGCAGCACACACTCTAGACATCTAGGAGTTCCAGTTACTTTCCTCAACACTAGCGATTCTCTAGCTCGGTGGTTTTCAGCCCAGCTCTTACTTAAGAATCATCTGGGGAACTTTTAAAAAATACGAGTGCCCCACGAGTGGGATTGGTCTGCTGTGGGGTCTGGCCATCGGGAACTGTTCAGGGCTCCAGGTGATTTCTGATACGCTACCCTGCTGAGACCTGGTGCTTTCTCGATGATTAAATGATTTGGTCGGTTCCCAGTTAGAACGTTTTAGTTGTGTGTAAGAATTCAAATGCAGAGCTGAATATCATGCCCCACCCTTAAGGAAGAAGGACTTGACTGTTCAGTTTGATCTTACCTGTTTTTTTGGAATAGGTAATAGATTACATAGCCCAGAATTAAAGAAAAGTGAAAGGAAACACAGTGAAAAGTATCCTCTCCCCACCCACCAGCGTTGCAGCCCTGCAGGAAACCAACGTCTATTTTCCAGAGATGGTTTATGCAGAACGTCTGCAGAATCTGAGTGATGTCTGATGGCTAATGTTGGCTATTTATACCTACTCTCTTTTCTCACTCCTTGAATAGGAGTTCCCAGAGATTGTCTTTTCAAAGCCCCAGCCCTGACTGCACTGACCCCGTCTTACTATCAGCTCTCTATCATACCCTCCTTTCAGCTCTCTTTGAGTTGATTTTACTGTTGTTTGTCAACTTCATAAGATGGGTTCTTAGCTCAGTTTCCATTTTTCTTTCTTTGTAATGTACATTTAAGGCCGTATGTTTTCTTCTAAGTACTGCTTTATTAGCAAAGCCCATTTCTTTTTTTTTTTTAAGAAATTTTATTAGGAAAATTTTAGACAGATACAAAAGAAATGAACCTTCATGCACCCATCACCCCAGTTCAGCAACTGGCAAAATCCAGCCATCCTTATTAAATGTCTACATTCACCTCCTCCAATTATTGTTATCTTTTTTGGTAAATTTTACATACTTTGCAGCCTTGGTACCTTTCAAAATTCAAATAATTCTAGTAATTCCATTTGGAATCATATAATTCCATTTCTAGAAATACGTTCTACAAAATAACTTCACACATACGTGAAATGACTTGTATGCAGAATAACTGACTGCAAAATGCCTGTTAATAGGGGACTGGCTATATATGTATTTTACCCATACAGTGAAATTCCTTATAGCTACAAAAAATAACAAGAAAGCCTCTCAGTGGTGGGGCACAGAGAGTGCCAGCCCTTCAGTGCCGGGCACAGTCTTGGGTGAGGAAACGCTGCGTAGGTCTGGGGTGGTGTGCCAGCACCACAGAACAGAGGGAAGCTGTGATGCATGCGTGTGTTTCGGGACTTCCACTCTCTGTGCTCTGGACCAAATAAATCAGACCAGCCCTTCCTCCACCCCACCTGCCACTGAAGACACCCAAGAAAAGTAAATGAAATGTATGCAAAGTCTCTTAAAGGCTTCAAAAAGCTAAACCAGTGCTAATAGTAACAGAAAGAACCCTGGATCCCCTTCACCCATAATCACCTCTTCTGAACATTCTGCTACATTCATTTTATCATCCTTCTCTCCCTCCTCCAAAGGAATACAATTTTCTTCATAACTGTTTAAGAATTAGTGCAGATACTGTTTCCTAAGCAAGGATGTTATTTCACATAACCACACTACAATCAGAATCAGGAAGTTTAACACTGACACAGCACCACCCTCCAAAACATGGTCCACATTCAGCTTTCACCAGTGGTCCCAGTGATGCCCTTGATAGCATTTCCCCCTAATTCAAGATCAAAGCAAGGATCACACACACGTTGCTTAACTGTTCCATTTCCTCAGTGTCTTTTTTTTCTTTGGAGACAAGAGTCTTGGTCTGTTGCCCAGGCTGGAGGCTGGAGTACAGTGGTGTGATCTCAGCTCACTGCGGCCTCCACCTCCCAGGTTCAAGCAATTCTCGTGCCTCAGCCACCTGATAGCTGGAATTATAGGCACGCATTACCCTGCCTGGCTTTTTATTTATTTATTTATTTGAGACAGAATTTCAGTCTCGTCGCCCTGGCTAGAGTGCAATAGAATGATCTTGGCTCCCTGCAACCTCCACGTTCCAGGTTTAAGTGATTCTCCTGTCTTGGCCTCTGAGTAGCTGGAATTATAGGTGCCTGCCATCACACCTGGCTAAATTTTGTATTTAGTAGAGATGGGGTCTCAAACTCCTGACCTCAGGTGATCCGCCTGCCTCAGCCTCCCAAATTGCTGGGATTACAGGTGTGAGCTACCATACCCAACCTTTTTTTTTTTTTAGTAGAAATGTGGTTATGGCATGTTGCCTAGGCTGGTCTCAAACTCCTGGCATTAAGTGATCCCTCTCAAAGTACTGGGATTACAGGCATGAGCCACCATACCCAGCCTTCCTTACTGTCTTTTAATCTATGAAGATCTTCCATCTTTGCTGCTGATGATAGTGAAATTTTATAGGCTAGCTGTTTTGTAGAATGTCTGCAGTTGGCATTTGTCTGATATTTCCTCTTGAGGAGATTCAGGCTGTGTCCTTCAGGCAGGAATACAGCATATTCCTGATGTTCTCTGTCACTGCATTATGTCACATGTGATTCTTGTTTTGATTATTTGGCTAAGGCAGCATCTGCCTCTTTTCTCCACTATATAAAAATACTAGTTCTTCCTTTGGGGGTAAGAAATGGCTTTGGGGAGACATTTTGAGACTATATAAAGATCTGGTTCCTCTTTAAGCATCTGTCAGTTTCCTTGTGGTTTTCATTTGCATTTCTCATCTGACAAGTGAGATTGAACATGGCTCTTGTGTTTATAAGCTGTCTTTACCTTCACCGTGAGACTTCACTGCACATAGTTCTTGCATTTTAATCAATTTCCTGCCATTGAAGAGGCCACCACTCCTGATACCTGAACTTATTGCTTGCTAAGCAAGGGAGAGCTAGGCTGCAGAGCACAGGCCCTCTATATGTTGCTGAGCATCATGGGGCTCGGGAATCAGTGACTTTCAGATGCAGGGATATTGAGGGATTGTTTGGCCTTTGGTTTTGGAAGGTAGACAGTAGGGTGAGGCTGCTGCAGCCTGGCTGGCTTCCAGAGTGTGGCTACTGGTGTGAGGTTGCCATGGGTCCATCAGGAAGCGTTTGGTTTTGTTTCTAGTCAGTATTCTGCTGAACCATTAGGAAGGGTTTAAACTGGTTCTAGTGGTTAGTTATTTATGATTTGGGATTATAATCAAAGAAGAAAGGACAGTCCGTCTCTTCCCTTCTTGAATTTGGAGAATTGGAACCTCTTAGTCCAGGGCCTGCCAGGACTCTCAGACACATGCCACAGTCCCAAAGCCGTTTCTTTTCTAGCTCATCTGAGGGGCAGGGCACCCACTCTTCAGTACCATAGACCCCAAAAGGGGAAGATGCCAGGGGCTTTGAAGGAGGTGACACTGATGTATACCCCACCAGCTCCCATCTTGAGAATGACTCATATTGACAAAGCCATCCTTTATAATGTCAAACCTCTTTTTAAAAATTCAACTTTTCTGCGGGGCGTGGTGGCTCATGCCTGTAATCCCAGCACTTTGGGAGGCCGAGGCAGGTGGATTGCTTGAGGTCAGGCATTCAAGACTGTTTCAGTTTCTAACCGAAGTACCAAGCTTGGATTTTTCTTTTTAAAGAGGCAGGTTCGTGGGAAGGAAAAACACCAGCCAGGATAGAGATAGAAATGAAAGAATTTATTAGAAATGAAAGAATTTATTTACAGAATGGAAGTACAGGATAAAAATGGAAATGAAAACAAAGTTATTTACAAGGTACCATACCCAGAAGAGCCCCTTCTGCACATCAGCACCGGCAAACAGCAGCACGGGTTATCGCAAGACAGTTGTAGCGCTTCCTTCTTCTCACACCAACACCGGCAAATAGCAGCACGGGTTAATGTAAGACAGTTTCTCACACCAACACCAGCAAATAGCAGCACGGGTTAATGTAAGACAGTTTCTCACACCAACACCAGCAAATAGCAGCACGGGTTAATGTAAGACAGTTTCAGCGCTTCCTTCTTCTCACTAACAGCTTTTTTCTGGCTGCTTTTATACATTAGGGTTTGTACAAGGACAAATACAGACCTCCTCTTGGAATTAAACCTTCATTATACAACCCCATCCTTGAAATTGTTTACCAAACTTGCAGGCACAGAAATTGGCCAGATTTCCGTGCCTTATCAAAAATATGTCTGGGAACTTCTGAGCTCGGAATGCTCCCAGAGACTGTTCAAGGAAAATGAAGGTAAACTATTTTTCTCAAGTGGAGTTCTGGTCATAGCTCATGTCCTTAAATGCCCCTACATTCGGCCCTTAGGTATGGCCAGAACGAGTATAAGCAAAATGAGCATCTTGCATGGACAGATAGGTTGTTTGCACTTGTCTGTATAGATACAAATTGCAACAGCAACTACAAAGACTTAAACACATTCCAATAAGTAATAATCCAAATAATGGTAAAAAATCGATATGAGGTGTTAGGGTGTACAAAAAGCCAATCCCACCAATTATGATTACTGTCTGTGGCAATAGCATGGGAATAAGTTTGTAATTTGTTACTGACAATAGTGGTTTGTATTCGGTGTTGGGCTAATTGTTTTACAAGATGTCTTAATGATTGATTTAATTGCATATTTTGGTACAAAATCCTAGATAGATTCAAATAGGTTTCTATGCGTGGTAGCGATAACCGTTGTATATGGAAGAAATAATGCTGTTTGATTAATAGGTATAAGATAAAGTGTTGTATTATACCAAGGCAATATACTAAGATTATATACACATCCAGAAAACGGTGTAGATACTTCTAGAAACTGAGTGGTAGATAATTGTGCGGTGGCTAAACAAACAGTCTTATCTGTTACTTCATAGATTACTGAATAATTCAAGACAGGAATAGCAGTGAAAATACAATGATTAACTGAAAATTGTAATAAGCAAGGCTCCATTTGTTGTTGTGATCCATTACACATAACACCTTGATTGGTTTGTTCACAATCTTGAACAATATAAGTCATATTATCTTTACCTATGTAAGTTCCATAATACTCAGGTTGTAAGAAATAGTGAGGGTAAGGTATAGGGAGAACATGGTATTGACATAGAATGTTGGTTTGCTTAGGCTTATAGTATACTATAGTTCCCGAGCAGTATGTAGTGTGACATTGGAAAGGGTTATGGAGACGCACCCAGGTGGTATTTGGAATACTAAACACAGTGGACCATGAAGTCACGCCTAAGGTTAAGTCTCGCTTCGTGTTTTCTATTTGTATGTAAGTATATAAATATTGTAAAGAGCATTGTGTCCAATTGAATAAAATAGTGATATTTGTGGTGGTAGAAACAATAGAACTATTGAATATTTGTAAGAGTGTTTTTTGGTATTGTATTTGTTGTTCGAGAGGTTTAATACTAGTGGGAATCCATTTAGCATTTAAACTAGTTGCTAGGGCTGCATCCCGCCCGGTATTTTTGAGTTTGTAGGCTAAAGTGTCCAAATCAAAGCTATTGGCGAGCCCAATTCCCATTCCTACTCCTCCTAAAATAGTATCATACCAAGCGCGTTTCCTGCGGGTGCATGGAGTTAACAAAGGAAAGCTAATATTAAAAAATAGGTGGTAGGGCTGAGCTAATAATGTGGTGTTAATACAGGTATGTGGAATGCGTATCAGTGTAGGGTGTGTAATGTTAAAAGTCTTGCCAATAATTACATGCATATAATCTGCCCAATTAGTACGTCCAGTTATCTCACTATTGTTATGACATAATATATGAATAGTAGAATTGATTATAAAGCTAGAGTTTGTTGAATTACATACTGTTAAAAAAGATTTTAGTTGTTTTCTATATTGAGAACTTGACATTAAATTAGTTAAATCTCTTATACAACAGGTTATGTTAACTTTAGTAGTAATGTTAATAGTCACCGGTCCATCACTGTGTAAGACACGTCTGATGGGAAATTGTCCTTTCCATGTTGTGAGATTAGTTCCTTCTATAGTGAAATTAATCATGAGACATTGTTCATTAGCGTAGCACGTGTAATTATCTTGGGTCCGATTAAATGTGGAGTTCATCCATCCCCATCTCAGAAGCATGGAGTCTGCTTTGGTAGTGTTAAGTTCTTGTGGAACACTTCCAGGGGTATATGCAGTGGCTGTGAAGAATCCCAGGAATGCTATGAGCAGTATACCTGTAATATACTATGGTCGAAAATATAAATGATTAGATGGCACCAAGATAGGAGTATCAGCAGGAGGAATAAGGACGTACAAGCAATTATCCTTTCCTTTTGCAACTATTTCTCCAGATTGGAGGGGCTTATTTGGGGTTACTTGCACCCATACTCGTCCATCAGTGCTGCCAAATCCAAGATGTTCAGAAATAGGAGGATATTTCTGAGCCTCCCAATTTTGAGTTTGCAATATAGGAATAAATAATATTTGAGTAATACGATGTCCTTTTGGGATTATGAGATCTTCCTCAGAAACATTATAACACAGTATTTTAATTTCTCCATAATAATCAGCATCAATAACTCCTCCTAAAATCATCATTCCTTTTATAGCTAAGCTAGATCGTGCAGCAAGTTGGCCATAAAACCCCGGGGGAATTTTTAAACCAATGCCAGTAGGTATAACATGGGGAGCATGTGCAGGAATTTTAGTAGCAACATAAGTAAATAAATCATAACCAGCTGCAGCATTAGTAGCATTCCAAGGTTGTATGGCATCCCGGTGGAATTTCCACCAGATAATGGTTAAATCAGTAGCATTAACAGAGTGTGATCTAACTTCTGCAGTGGATGAAATGTTCATCATTCGTTGGATGGGTGTTTGCCCGTCTGTTAGCGGACGGTTATTTAATTGCATTAAAGCTGTTAATAAAAAATCTTTCCAAGCATGGTAAGAATTGTTTCCTAACTTTCGTAGTTTTTCTTTTAACATCCCATTCATTTGTTCTATGAGGCCTGCAGCTTGGGGATAATAAGGGATATGATAAATCCATTCTATGCTATGTTGAGTACAGTAATCAGTTATTAACTTACCTTTAAAATGGGATCCATTGTCACTCTGAATTTGTAAGGGAGTTCCATAATATAATAATATATAGTCTAAAGTTTTTAAAGTATTTATTTGGGTAGCCCGTTTATAAGGGCATCCAATTAGAAGTCCAGAATATGTATCTACAATAGTACAAATATAAGAACATCCCTTTGACATTGGTAAGGGACCTATATAGTCAATTTGCCAAATTTGAGCAGATTGTTTTCCTCGAGCTAATTCCCCAGTTACTATTCGAGGCACTTGTTGAAGTCTATCTTGGTTACATACAGGGCATTGATGGGCAGTAGTTTTACAAGCATCAAGAGGAAGATATATCCCTCTTTGAGATGCCCACCTGTACATGGTTTTTGCCCCTACATGACCCGCATGTTCGTGTATCCATTGTGCACATTTCAAATGATCTTCTTCTGTACTTGCGGGATGTGCATTAGCATGAATTCTGGTTAGCTCATCTGCCTTTTTGTTATGTATTTTCTCAATGGAATCCAAAGAAGTGTGAGCATCTACATGAAAAACAGAAACATTAGTACATTGCAATGCAATCCATATGTTTTTCCAAATTTCTGCTCCCCATAATTTTTTTTTTTTTTTTTTTTTTTTTTTTTTTTTTTTTTTTTTGAGACAGAGTTTTGCTCTTGTTACCCAGGCTGGAGTGCAATGGCGCGATCTCGGCTCACCGCAACCTCCGCCTCCTGGGTTACAGGCACGTGCCACCATGCCCAGCTAATGTTTTGTATTTTTAGTAGAGACGGGGTTTCACCATATTGACCAGGATGGTCTCGATCTCTCGACCTCGTGATCCACCCGCCTCGGCCTCCCAAAGTGCTGGGATTACAGGCTTGAGCCACCGCGCCCGGCCTCCCCATAATTTTTTATCTCGAATTTTCCAATTGTCATGTTGCCATTGTGCTATCCACGTTAAAAGACCCATATATACTGCCCAAGAATCAGTAAAAATATGACATTGTCCTCCATACTATTTTTCTAAGCATAGCCATGCCGCATACAACTCTGCAAATTGACTGCTGCCACTTGTTCCAGAATGTTCTAGGGTAAGTTGTAACGAAGGGTTATATGCTACAGCTTTCCAATATCGTTTAGCATTAATATACTTAGCTGATCCATCTGTAAACCAAGCATGTTGTTGCTGCTCGCTTGTAAGAGTATTATAGCCACTGTTAGCCCACACTTTACTATCAATGTGTTTTATAGGTTGTGTCTCCTCTATAGAGGTAGAATTGGGGCATGAGAAGACTTGTTCATGTAATTGTAGTGTCCCTGTTGGGCCGGCTCGAGCACGGTTCTGAATGTACCATTTCCACTTAATAACATGAGATTCTTGTGCATGCCCAATTTTATGTGAAACTGGATCTGATAGAATCCATTGCATAATTGGGATTTGAGGTCTTAAAATAAGTTCCCTATTTGCAGTATTATGTTCAGTCTCTGTCAATGCCCAATAGGCAGTAAATAATTGTTGTTCCGGCTGAGTATAAGGCTTTTTACACTGCGGCAATTTTCGAGACCAGAAACCTAGCGGGACTCGCTTACCATTTTGTTTTTGCCATAGGCTCCAATTAGCATGTTGATCTGTAACACTAATCATTAATTCTAAAGGTCCTTCGCGTAAGGGCCAAAGATTTAGTGCTTGTTGAATAGCTTCCTTGGTTCTATCAAATGCCTCCTGTTGTTCTCGCCTCCACTCAAATTGATATTTTTTCCTAGTTATTTTGAATAGAGGTTGTAGTAAAATACCTAAATGAGGTATATGGTGTCGCCAATATCCAAACAAGCCAATATATTTTTGAGCTTCTTTTTTATTGGTGGGGGGTGGAAACTCCAAAATACGTTGCTTAGCTTTAGGAGTGATTGATTGTTGTCCTTGATCCCAATATATTCCCCAAAATTTTACATGTTGGTCCGGCCCTTGCACTTTTGCTGGATTAATTTTCCACCCTTTGCTCATTAAGTGATCAGTTAGTGAGGATAATGCTTGTTGCAAGGTAATTTGATCATGTCCCTGTATCATAATATCATCAATATCATGGTGGAGTATTGTATTAGGATAGGTCCACTCATCTAGATGTTCTGCCACAATTTTATGACACAATGTTGGACTATGTTTGTACCCTTGAGGCAGTCTAGTAAAAGTGTATTGTCTTCCGTTCCAAGTGAAAGCAAAATATTTCCATTGGTCTGGGTTAATGGGTATTGTGAAAAAAGCATTGGCTAGATCCAATACCACATACCATTGACCTATATACTTCTGTATATTTTCAATTAAGATAATAGTGTCAGGTACAGCAGCATGAAGAGGAGGGGTGACTGCATTTAAATTTCTATAATCAACTGTCATTCGCCAAGATCCATCAGGCTTCCTAACAGGCCATACAGGACTATTCCATTCTGATGTACAGGGAACCATTACTTCGGCCTCCACATAGTTTTGTATAGTCTCAGTGATCTCAGCATGTCCTCCAGGAATTTTATATTGCTTACAATGTATAACTTTAGTGGGAGTGGGTAAAGTAAGAGGTTCCATTCTTAATTTGCCAATAATTAAATCAGGGTAAATTTTATAGGTCAGTTTAGCTACTGCAAAGTTGTATCGTCCGTCCTCTAAGTGCAAAGTCATTCCCTTTAGGATATCCATACCTAATATATATTCAGGGATAGGAACAGTCATTACTGTCTATTTGCGTTTAGGTGTATGTCCAATTTTTATGTCTAATTCAACTTGTTTAGCTTTTATTTCTGATCCACCTAACCCAGTAATGGTAGTGGTCAATCCTTTAAATTTCCTAGGGTTACCATAAATTAGTGTAGCCTCCGCCCCAGTGTCTACTAAAGCCTTAACTTTAGTACAAGATCCGTTCTTCCAAAAAATAGTAATAGGAACATGAGGACGTATATCAAAGCGTTTGTGCGACACTGAGGCTTGGCTAGTCTGTCAGTTGGAAGGGAAGAGATCTTCCCAAGGATAAATTGAAGCAACAGCATTAGCAGGGTCTTTATCTTTAGAGTCCTGCTCCTCTGTCACTTTGGGAGTTCCAAAGAAAGGGTTGGATTTGGTTTTTTCTGAATCAGCCCCAAATTGCACCTTCTTAACAGCCCGTACTTTTTCCCTATACAAAGCCCATAATTCATTGGTAGGTAATCCATCTAATTGGTCGGGCTTTATTCCCACCTTTAATAATGCTTGAAACATTTCTTTTCTAGTGACTCTATTTTTAATATCTTGTATGTTACCTTTAGGAGGGCGGGGTGTCCAATCTCCCATATCTCCCAGTTCTACCATTTTTTCTAATATGCGTTCAATGGGGTTCCCAGTTTTGTTTAGCAACAAGGTAATTATCAGATGTTTGTAAGCAGGGGGCACAGTTTTTACCATAACACTACGGTGAGTGGACAGCAAAGCAGTAGTTAAATTAAGTATCAGCTTGCCCTGTAGCAATAGCAGTTTTCATAGCTTCCGTCTTCAACCTTCTAATGCCCTCTTGAATAGTATACCATGGTCTGTCATCGGATGGCCATGCTGACTCTGTAGGGTATTGTCCTATACACCCCCGAGCCGCTAATTCTAGCATAGTTGTTATGGCCCCTGCCCCATCATTACCACCTACAAACTGATGATCCCGAAAAGCTGTTTGAACAGCAGGATTAGTGGACACAGTAAGGAATTTAGCAGCATCTTGGTGATCAATTCGAATTCCACCTGCTCCCATATCTGCAATACGGACCATCCAATCTAGTAAAGGCTCATTAGGTTTTTGAGAAAATTTGTACAATATATCCTGAATTTCTTGTTGAGTAAAGTCTTCCTGTATTAAATAAGTCTCCGTCCGTCCATCTGCTGTTGTTTTTTGGTGCCTTCTAGATAATGGTTTTGCTTGTACTGACAGGGGCGGTGAGTGATATTTTCGTGCCTCCTCATCTAACTGTTCCCAGTCTACATCATCATCAGTATCGTCCCATATGTCACCATCCCAAGTATCAGGGTCCCAATCTGCTTTAGCAGTGGCAATAACTGCATGAACCTTCTGGGTGTTTACCTTTCCTCGTCTCTTACGATACTTGTACTGAGCACAGCGCACGGCTGCTTTCTCAGCCACTCCCTGATAAGTCCTTACTTGATCCCCCAATATAAAGTTTTGACACTGTAGCATAGATAGTTTACCCTGTAAATCCGTTAATTCCTTTTCTAACTGCAGTTTTTCCTGTATTACTTTCTGTCTATCAAGATATTCTCTCCTGTAAGCAGACAATAAACTCCATCCCCTGCGACTAATAGCCATTAACTCTTTCCCTTTCTCTACCGGGACCAACTCCAAGGTTTCACATACTTGCATAGGGTCGGCTGCCCGCAGCCGCCCATCCCAATTTTCACTTAACCCAGTCCCACATGCCCAAAGGCGAGCTACTGCAGAAAAAGTTGGATCATCCCATCCTGGTATATCACAAGTCACTTGCTTAACGTCACGCTTAAACAAAGGCATGTTGCTTATCCCTCTCCCCAAAATCCTGCCAACTACGCCAATTTGTTTCGGTTTCTAACCGAAGTACCAAACTTGGATTTTTCTTTTTAAAGAGGCAGGTTCGTGGGAAGGAAAAACACCAGCCAGGATAGAGATAGAAATGAAAGAATTTATTAGAAATGAAAGAATTTATTTACAGAATGGAAGTACAGGATAAAAATGGAAATGAAAAAAAAGTTATTTACAAGGTACCATACCCAGAAGAGCCCCTTCTGCACATCAGCACCGGCAAACAGCAGCACGGGTTATCGCAAGACAGTCGTAGCACTTCCTTCTTCTCACACCAACACCGGCAAATAGCAGCACGGGTTAATGTAAGACAGTTTCAGCGCTTCCTTCTTCTCACTAACAGCTTTTTTCTGGCTGCTTTTATACATTAGGGTTTGTACAAGGACAAATACAGACCTCCTCTTGGAATTAAACCTTCATTATACAACCCCATCCTTGAAATTGTTTACCAAACTTGCAGGCACAGAAATTGGCCAGATTTCCGTGCCTTATCAAAAATATGTCTGGGAACTTCTGAGCTCGGAATGCTCCCAGAGACTGTTCAAGGAAAATGAAGGTAAACTATTTTTCTCAAGTGGAGTTCTGGTCATAGCTCATGTCCTTAAATGCCCCTACAAAGACCAACCTGCCCAACATGGTGAAACCCTATCTCTACTGAAATACAAAAGTTAGCTGGGCCTGGTGACGGACACCTGTAATTCCAGCTACTAGGGAGACCGAGGCAGGAGAATTGCTCAAACCCAGGAAGCAGAGGTTGCAATGAGCCGAGATTACACCATTGCACTCCAGCCTGGGTGACAGAGCGAGACTCCATCCCAAAAAAAAAAAAAATTTCAACTTTTCTATTAGATTTGTGTGTGCTTGTGACATTGCTTCAGATCACATGATTTTTTTTTTAATTAAAATGAGTTTTTATGGTTTAAAGTAAAATTACATATTTAAAAACTGATTGTTAAGCTTGGTGTGGCACATGCCTGTAGTCCCATCTTCTCTAGAGGTGAGCTGGGAGGATCGCTTGAGCGTGGGAGACAGA